ACAATTGCATCATCATCTTAAATAAATTATTACTTTTTTACAAGAGGAGAGAAGTTATCCTCTGATACTGAGACTAAAATTAGGAACTGAGAATATCATGGGGCAATCTGATGACCTGTACCAAAGAGTTGGAAAGAGTCTGTTCCTTGACATGAGACATTATGTCATCAATATAATGCAGGTGCAGTCCTGATGAAACATATAAATAGTTTCTTTTTGCACAAAATAATGAAGTATGCTTAGATTGCATTTTCAAAAATTATTCACTTTGGTTTATTCAAATTATTCAAGAAAACAAACCCACCTTAACTGGTTTTATTTGTGAACCAAGCTAAAAAGTCTCTTTATTGGCAGAAGAAGCCAGCAACACAGCTTAATATATACTTCAATTACTTAAACTCCACAAACTTCTAGTACAGGATTTTAATGTGTTTTGGTAAATCACTCGGATTTCCAACAGCCATTCTTTGTATAATGATAGCTGCTGGTGTCAATGCACAGCTTCCAATTTTTTTACTCAAATAAATGAAAAATAATGGCTGATCTTTGCTTCATACATATCAAAAGTTCCTGAAATTCAAAACTTATTTAATGTATCATAAATATTACTTACTAGAGAATATTACTTGCTAGAGAAACAAACCTAGATTTTTTTCAAATTCAAAAATCTTGACATCATCTTACCTTGTCAGAAGCAGAGAAAAGTCTAATAACTGTAACAATTCTAGGGGAAATGCAGTAACTTGATGTGAAAATTATTGAAAGATTTACTGTGTGCTTTTCTGCAGAACTAATTATGAAAGAACATTGATTTGTAAAAAAAAAAAAAAGACATACAAGTACTACTGTAAAGATATCAAATGGATGATCATCATAAAGTAAATCTGCATTTGGTTCTTCGTTCTTATGCAGGCAATGACACATCCGTCTTCACTCAACAGATGTAGAACAGTAGATGCTGCTGTCCAGAGACTCAGCATGACATACATTAGAGTTTACAGCAGTGCCTACCTTATCTTGCAGGCCTAAAGAAATAATCTGTCCCTGTTTTAAAAAAAAAAAAAAAGCCCATGGGCTCTGAATGAACAGAAAAATACCCAGAAAATTATGCAAAGAGGACAGAAAAAACATTTGTACTACTTTTCACTTAACATATAGATTAACTAGAATGACTGTCAGCAGCACAGTAGAAGAAACTCTTCAAAAGTGATTTACATTTTGAAGAGAAAAAAATTTTGCCTAAAGGCTTAAAATATGAAGATAGCCTAAATGATTTAGCTTTTGGTATATACCGAAAAGTAAAAAGCAACCAGGTCTGAAAAATGGCTTAGATGTCTGGAAAAAAGAAATGAAAGGAATAAAAAACATTTTAACACTGCGGGCACTGAGGGTCAAGAAGCTCAGCAATGAGTATCTATTGATCTATGATGCTATTTTGATTTTTTATGATTCTGGTACTGAAAAAAATTATGGCGGTATTACAAAACAGCAAATATTCTCAGACCCTCTGGACAGGGTGTTTCTGCTGTTTTCTTGTTCTGCCCTTAACAGTCTATATGCTCTGCGCAACTGCTAACAAGGGAATCTCGGGAATTCTTTCTCTTTTATCTTCCCCTGGGACACGGGCAACTTCACTATAGCTGTGCTTAACTGTTCCCCTCTTGGAATCTAGAGGGTCACTGCCTTCCAGAATTCCCTTACCCTCCTCCAGCAGAGGATATTTAGACTGTTCTTATTCTTGACAAGAGGGAGGAGGAAGACTGAGGGGTGGCCTGACTCCAGCCTCACCTTGCATTGTAAGAGCTCACACAGATTTCATCACTTCTAACTAGGGAAATGGCAATCATATTGGAAGCAGATGAAGATGCAAATCAGGGCTAGCATGGGTTAAATATGATAATTTGCACAAGATTAACCTCATGAATATCATGACACAGCGGGAGTGGGTAGATTTAGAATTAAGATACCAAGACGGTGTCAATATCATTAGCAAGGTAGTGGTTGATGTGATACCAGGAGAGAAGGTGGGCAAAGGAAGAGCCAAGTTTGATTTCTTCTCTGTTAAGTTTAAACTCACAATAAGACATTTAATAGTTGTTGTAAAGACAGCACGACAGAATGGATGACAAGATGAGACTTGCTAATGTCAGAAAGGTGGCCTGAGGAGGTAAAGACTGATGAATGTTATTGTTCAAATAAGTAAAACAAAGGCTATTGAGAATGCCTAAAATCCTACTCAGACAGCAGGAAACAGGAGCAATATTATGCTGATTAAAGTTTTTTTAAAGGTGTTAATATCAAGATACTGTCATTTTGTTGGCAAAACATTAAGAAAGATAGACTGGCTGATAGAGACTCCAAAATTCAATTCTCTTCTGTAATGTTTTCAGGATTTTATTTTAATCAGTTGCAAATTGCTGCTAACTGGAAATAGACCCAAATATTATCAGTTGTATTGTAAGTATCTAAATTAGGCAACCATTCTAAGTACAGTATGCATACTCCTGGGGTTTTTTTATGTTTTCTGAACAACAGGTAAAAAGTGCCTTATAACTGCAAACTAAATCTCTCCAGTGAAAGAGCTGCTATGACTATTTACAAATAAATGCAAAATATAAAATAAAAGTTAACCAAACAGCATACTGGAATTACCAGTCACAGGAATACTGCCATGTACCAGACCACATCAGTATTAACGCAGAACACCAGCTGTACAAAACCACCATCATGCAAGTCAGATGACATTAATGAACAGCAACCTTATTGTGCAGCTGAATGGGAGACTTGCAGTAATGTCTGGAAGAGTTCAAAGACATTACACTGTGCCTAAAGGACCCACGGATCAATACAATGTCACTGGAAGTGTTGGAGTTATTACAATGTCAATAAAAGTATGACAACAGTGTCCAAAGTATCAGTGAGTAACACATGATGTCAATAAAAGTGTGAGGTGAGGGAATGCAATGCACCATGGCTAAAATTGGAGACCCTGGTATATCAGTGCAAGAACTGCACAATGCCAGCAGACCATTTTGAAGAGATTTACTGTATATTCTCATTTTTACCAAAATATCTCTAACTTTAAACCTCCCAAAGGGGATCAGATATGATAGCATCAAAATTATTTTAACTTAATACAACAAAATGAGGTTTACAGCTATTTGATACTATTCTATTCCTTAAGCACTGCATCCTGGAAATACATGTGTGACCTAAATTCCCCTCAGTCCAAAAGAGCAGAATATGCAACTACAACTTTTAGTGTCCTTTCACAAATTGACAATAGACTGGGACCAGAAGCTTAATATAGTTCCTTTTTTTCACAGAATATTTACTAAAGGACAATCATTACTCTGAATCCTCAGCACAATGCTTTGTTTGGATATAGATCAGTATATTATAATTCTGAGGAAACTCTGAACGGACTTCATTCTGTGTATAACTACATATTAATTAGGAAAAAACCACTATGGATGCTGAATTCTAAACAATTACTGGAAAATGCTAGGCTAGGAAGAAAAAGCTAATAAAAACTGTAAAATATAATTAAAATATTTTAGCATCTACCTCTTTTAGTGCTAAGTAAAAGACATGAGAAAGAAAATATGGCAATTAAATTGTGATGTTTACTTCTAAAGTTTAATTAAATAATCAGTATGTACAGAATTAGAGTTTGGATGCCTCAGCTTCCACTCACTGCCTCCCTTTGAAAAGACAACAGAGAAAATGTTCCCAGATACTAGTTTGTAGAAACAATGAAATCACATTTTAATAAAGTTAACTTTTAACTGCTGTGCAATGTGCCCTCAGCCTGGGGAGCTGGAGTGGTCTTCTCTTTCAAGATAAGAGGAGACAGAAGTATGGTCATATTGGTGAAGAATGTGAGAGTTCTAGTATTTGGTCAGAAAATAAGAAACCTTCTTCAAAGAGATATGTAATTTTTATTCACTAGCTATTCCAAATATTTAAATTATGACAGTAAGAACAATTGTGATTGTTTCCTGCACAGTAGCAGGACAGAGCATATCAGTTTGACAAGTAGTCAAGATCTGATTCTTTCTTTCTGGTATAAATCTGTTTTTCACATTGCTTTCTTCTCCATGAACCTTAGAGATTTGATAAACTGTATTTAATCTTCCATTGAGATAGGCTATTGAGAAAAGCAAGAGAAACTTTGAATTTAAGAAGAATTGGCAGCAATGAAGAGTACAATCTTGAAAGATTTCAGAGCTATCACACCTCATTCCCAGGTCCGACCATAAATGGGATAAAGTAATAACTGTAAACACAATCTGGTAAATAAAAGTAAAGGAATAGAGGATTCTGATCTACCAAAAGCCCAGCCTAGATTAGATATCCATTATTATCCACAAATTGTAATTTTCCCTCTATTTTCAGGTAAACTTCCAGAATCCATTTCATGCATTATTACACCATTCCAATATCATATTGCTTTGCATATTATTATTTCTTTTCCAATGTACTGCAATTGCAATAAAAGATTGCAGTAATGTAGCCATTACCTACAAACAAAACTATGTGGTATATTCTGTATGCTTTAAACCTGCGCATATAAAAACACAACACTGAAATTCAACTCACAGCTGCTTTATTTATTTATTTGTTTGTTTGCTGTAATGTCTGTTAATTAAGATAGATGCTAACTAGGTGGCACTGTGTGCTTGAAGGGCTGAGCGTGACATTTTTTCCCTCCTTAATGCCTGCATCTTGCATTCCTTCAGCTCACATCCATCAGGAAAGGACTGCCAGGTGAGCTGACTGTCACTCCAGACCAGGCTAATAGATTCTCCAGTGGCTTTTGTTACAGCTCATGTCATGCTATTAAAACTCTGTGCCTTGAAAATGACATAACATACGTAGCTGAGACTTGTCAGCTCCAGGTAATCAGATGCTGCTTGGTTTCAGAAGCAGATGCAGATGAGACTGGCAATATAAATATGCAAATCACAATGGTCCCTTGTCAGCACCACTGTTCCTACCTCTAATGGCCCTCGTAGAAAGTCTGTTTGCTCAGCTCCTACTTCCAGTGCTACATCGACAGAAGCAAAGGGGCGGCTGGCCATCTGCTGTCGCTCCCGCATAAGTTGCTGATGAGGAAAAAATGATGTTTTAACAAAACATTAAAAAATGCACCAGATATTAGTCTGCCCTACTATACCTCCCATTAAAACATAAGAATGCAAATAGCATGCAAATATTCATATTTGTAACATCAAAGTGAGAAAGTTATACTAAATCATCATCATCATCTATATTTACTTGAGAACGGAGCACAGAAGGCTATGATGGCTACAAATGGTATTTCAGCTTGAACTCTGACAAAATCTCCAAACAAAAGCTTCCCTAACTGACTGTTCTCTCTAAACAACTTTGCTATTTGTGCAAGTGGCAAGCAAATATGGGAAATGGTTGGTAAAAGTAGTTGAAATCTAATTCCAATGATAATGCAAGCATTAGAACACCTGCCAAGAACAAGTCCGCTTGGCCTTCAAATTTTCATATTTCACAACTAAGCCAGATGGAGTTAATAGTGTCAGGACTCAATTTTACACAGTATCTTTTCTGCAGCTACTTTTATATAAGGAATAACATGTCAGGATTGGGAAGGCTGCATCGGTGTATTAAGAATAAGCTCAGCTATGCTCAGAGAGCTTGTATAATCCCTTCCAATCATACCAGTGCGCACAGAATTCCCTAGCAAAACCACAAAGTTAACTCATATTTCTTCCTCAATCTGTAATTATAATGCTTATTAAAGCATGATGTATAAAAATGATGACCAGCACTAGATATTACAGATCTTACTTCACTGGTTCAGTGCAACTAATAAAAGCATTATTAAATATTTAAGATGAATGAGTCGTGCAATTCAAGTCGTGTGTTCCTTCAGCTGAACAGGATGTCACAGCATCTTGAAAAGACAAAATGATTGCAAAAATGTTTTATTAGGAAAGATCTAAGTTTCATTTTCTTAGTGTTTTTCTCCCTTTTATATCTCTGGGAAGCTTAAAACATTAGAAGGTGGTATTTGAATGTAAATGACACTATCACTGTGACATACTGTTCATAAAAGCCTTTGAAAGAATAAAAGATATGCAAGCAAATATTTGCTGGCAGCTTACTAACAAACACCCTTGATTTAAGGCCTGTTACAAAGCAACAAACTGGTTTTGTAATACTTCTCATGCATTTTGCCCTGACTTGCTTTTTAAGATTGTCTATAGTAATCTAAAGACGCACTCATAATGTTAAAATCAAACCAGTACAGTGGTCTCTCAGTGCATACCCAGTACATTCCTAAGGCCTGGTTTTTATAACCAGGCAGTGTGTTTGTCAGCAAGCACCTGCACAAATGGGCCCCCAGTATATCATACCAAGAGGATAATCAATATGTCTGTGGGTGAAACTGCATGTTTTATATTGGGAATAAATAAAAGCCCAGTATGAATACCTAGATGGTTAAGAATTATGTTTCTAACCCTTCACTTTAAAATGAAAACGGTGGTCTCTGTCTAGGATTTACATCGGCACTGATTTTTATCAATACAATATACTAATAGATTTTACAGCCCAAAAAATACTGAGTCACTACATGCTAAAATTACTATATCTAGCTCCTTTTCTTCCTAAAATAACAAAAATTAAAGAAAACAGTGTTATTAGAGTAGTCGTGCCACATGGAACTCATTAGAGTATTGTAAGTCTGCAGAGCTATTGGCAAGTGCTTACTCTTTAATGGGAAACCAAACACTGTTTTAAACAAATAGAATTGCTTGAGGAAAGTACTTAAATGAACAGAATAACCTATGACCCAAATATGCAAACCATTATTTAAAAGGTTTACTTAATGTGAATCATAAAGATACGTACATTTGATATGTTTGCTGTTTTTTAAGGCTAGTAGGTTTCTTCAACTCTGCTCCTGGTCGGGCATCCAGTAAAACCTTTTCATTCACAAGACAGTCACTGTAATTTTGATGCTTTGTCATTTGAGAAGAGTACCACAAAGATTCTTAATTAGCTCAGTAAACAAGAATGAAAACTTTAAAATGTTCAGCTGCCCATAAAGCGCTGCTGAGTTTGGCAGCTGAGCACTTTCACATCAAAGATAAGTGCTCTGTTCAAAATAAAGCTGCTTTCTGTTCAGCATTTTAAAACTCCCTCTAAGGTGCAGAACAGGAAAATTGAGACGCAATGAAGAGAACTACAGGAAGCTATTATCATGCTTAAAATCAGTTTTGTGTCTGGAAAAGGTCACTACCTCCCACCATCTGCAACTGTCTGTATATCAAGACTGGGAAAAGACAAATTCCAGTTATAGAACATGTTGTGAGACAGATTATTGCATGGTGGGTGTCATTCAGGTGTGACATCATGTGCTCCACTTATGTGCTGTTTTCATGTAGCCCATATGGTCATGGGGAATTCCTATAATTCACCCATAGGCCAAGAAACATGAAAATTCTCTGAACATGGGTACTATGAAAAGAGTGAAAAAGCTCCTCCTTGCCTTTTCAGCAGTCAAAGAGATAAAAAAAACCCAAAATGGAAAGTGGAACTATAATGCTGTTACTTCTACACTCATGTCCAAAAACATTACTGCATTTAAAAATCATACAAGCAAAAAATAAATACATACTCATTCAGGAATTAGGGATATTTGCTTGGAGACATAATATAGATAGATATTATTGATACATAATATTTGAATATTTTGTCCCAAATTTAATTTGTAACATTCAGAATGCAGGCACGTGTCTAAATATTCACTTAAAGGTATGGGAAATTATAAACATTATTTTTTCAGTGCAGGGAGTTTCACAGCATCAGGACCGAGAAATTAAATAAGCATTTATTTGACTGAGCAGACAACTGATTTCAAGTTCTACCATAATTTTAAATCTCATTAAGTAGAAGATTATTGACAAGATTAATTTTTTAAGCATCTCTATTATTTTGCAGCAATTTCAAGGTATTAATTTCTATCCTATTAAAGAGTTTTTCTTTCAAAGTGTAGAATTCTAGCTGTCATCAGTGAAGAACAGTAAGATGTTAGGATACTATAAATTAGGTCAATTTCTCACTCAACATCCATATAAATTGAAAAAATTCTTAAAACCCAACAATTTTGGCATAACTAGTTCCATATCATGGAAATATATATTTCACCTGTTTCTCTATGCACATGTAGACATCTTAGATTATGGTAATTTTGAGTTTTGGTGAGCTAGTCAAATAAGTACCTTTGAAATAGGACCTGCTTTCCCACCTAGAAGTAGATCACAAGAAAGTTTTTGCCTAGGTATGCAATTCAATTTTACTATTGATCAAAAAAATTCTCATGAGGGATAATACTCCTCAATGCAATTTGGAGTAAATGAAAATGTTCCATAGTATTTTGTATAAGCTTCTATAAGGAAATGTTCTTATTTAAATAGAAATGTTTTGATTTTTTTTCTTTTGGTTGATAACATTCAGACTTCCTTTCAAAATATTTTAATGCCTGCATTGCATTAATATACAATAAAACACTCAATGCAAAATATATATTACAGTGATTTAACAGTAACAGAATACAATATTCCAGCAATCTTGGGCTGATGTGTTTCAAATGTTTTGTATTTTGGGAATTTCTCTTCTCCTTCCCTTCTTCCCCTTCTCCTTCCCTTCCCTTTCCTTCTCTTCCCTTTTCTTTCCTTCTCTTCCCTTTTCTTTCCTTCTCTTCCCTTTTCTTTCTTTCTTTTTTTTTTTAAGACTTGGTCTCTCAAATTGAATTCAATACTGTTCTTCTGAATAGCACTGCTTTTTCTATGCTATTCTCTTCACCTTCCAGTGGAACTGCCCTGGAAAAGCCCTAATTGGAAAAATCTAATAAAGTGCAAGAGACATTAGGAACTAGACAGGTATACTTTCTCTTTGTTATACAGTAACAGACATTCTTGAGAGACTGATAGATTGGGATAGCTGAAAAGGATGAGGCCATTTTAGTGCCATAATAGGACGAACAGAAAAATCCTTTCAAAGATCTTTCTGTTGCTGTTTGGCACCTCTAATGGGCTACTTTAGCCCACTGGCAAGCAAGGTACATGCTGAAGTGTGCCATGAAGGATGCACAGACAAGAGTGTATGTCCAAGTTCATAGGGAGCTCGACGACTAGGGTGGGGATAAGAAGTGGTAAACACCAGTAAAAATGTTCAGGAGACTTCTGACTGCCAAAAAGAAGAGTTCTCCTTTTGGCTTTTCAGAGCCAGGCAGTCTCAATACATTATCCCAGAAATAAGAAATGATATGGCAGTCGAGAGGTGCCTGTTATTTTAATAAGAGCAACAACTGCCTAGGTTTCCTAGCTTTTCTTCCTTCGCATCTTAGATATGTTTGGTTTTTCCCTAGATCAGATCACTATTAATAATGTACCAGGACACATCCATGCATTTGCCAAGGTGAGTATTCAAAACCACGAATTCTGCATCTCTCTGGAAACTGCCGTCTAGTCCAGTGTTTTATGACCCTCTTTGTGACAAAGATTTTCCAAGTGTCTCATTTGAAATTCCTATTCTGCTTAATCATCCCCGAGTTCTGAATTTTCTGCAGTTGCAAGTTGGTCTCCTCCTTTCCTGTTTCTGTGCTGTCAACTGCTGATGTGAGTAACATCAAAAGGCTACAAGAGAAGCATTAACAACACCATGCACTAAATCTGAGTTTTAGAGGAAAAGTATTGCAATGAGAAAAAATGCCAAAACCTCATGGCGTTGACTAATTTCTGATCACACTGTATTTGACAAGCTCCAAAACTTAAAAAAAATCAAAAATGTATGTAAGTGGGCAGCCCTGCAAAGCCAGAGCCTCCGTAGGAAATGCAATTCAGCCACTCATTGCATATTCTTGAGGGTTCTTACTGCCATATCAAATCAACAGAAGTAACTTATATGGGCTTATATGACTACACAGATCTGAGTGGATCACAGGCATTTTAATTAGAAACACAATTTAATTCCCTTCAAAAATTTTAAATTCTCATTTTCAAACTGAATACATAGTGATATTTCAATGAAGCTCTGATTATTCACTTTAATTTGCAGAAGACAA